AGTGTGTGTACATTTTCCGACAGCTCGTGTATCCTGTTTGAGTTTGCACAGACGAGTTTTGCTAACGAAAATTTGGAAATTCGCAAATCGAAAAATCAACAAAACAATAAAGAATGTCCCCGCAAAGTTTTGACAGGCGCAAACACTGTAGCTCTTCGACGTTGCTGATGTTGGTGTTGGTTTTGTTGTGACCTCCCGCATGCGAGGTCATAGGTATATCAGATAGAATATGTTTTCCACTGAACCTTTATTATTCGTGGAACTTTTCGTAACTTACGGGTGCAACCGAGATTCCTTTGCTTAACCGACACATCAGAGTATCCTCCCTATGCAATTTCCTAAATACTGACCTGGACAGAATGACTCAGAGAACTTTCATGAAAAATGTTTTCTAGAAAATTGATGATTCTCCCACAATTTGTGTGGCAGGGAAATTGTTATATAACAGGATTGATATATAAACTCCGTGAATAAACTCCCATTTTCTTACTGTTATGGAGTTTTTCATTTTAAATAAGGTTTGCTAAGACTTCCATCGATATTTCTGAGAGCGTTGATGCTTCTTATCTTTATTTGTTTCTGCTACCGCTCAAGTTCCAGCGACTTTGTCCACATACCTTCTGTCCACTAAACCTGGACACGTTTTGGTGCGTCAACCTTGGCCAGTCGTTTGACTCACAGTTCCCGCAAGTTATCGATAGCTTGAACCTGAATGCATATCTTTTTCGTGGCCAAACGTAAAATCTAAAATAAGAATTCTTCAGAAAACTACCTTTGAGGCATTAAAAAAGGCCTTTTCTTCAAGTCCTTTTTTAGATAATTTTATTAATAGCCGATTTTCACGGATCACTTAGCTAAGAAGGATGAGTACGCCTCAACATCCCTCCCGCCACATTTTCCTCGATATCTTGCATATGTACATGGAAAGCCTTCGACTGTAAATGAATTATAAGCGGAGCCCCACACAGCTAAGTAGAAGGTTCCATGTGATTTATTAATTCGTTTTGAGTAATGAAGGCATCGCCAAGGAGACCACCAACAACAACAAGCGCATAGAGTTCGTGTTAAATGCTAATTTATTTGCACACGAGCGTGTTCAGCTGCTTGTATGTGTATAAGCAGCTCGTATTCATTTGTAATTGACTCTGAAACAAATGTTTGCAATATAAAATAACAAAACCGCATACTGTTCGGGTGCGGGCGGCGGCGGAGGTAGAGTTGAATTGAGTATAATTGGAATTTATTGAGCTTTAATTAACATTTAAGTTGATCCACATGGACGCGACTACATAAAAGCCACTCATAACACCTTAATGGGAGCGCGCGAACGGAGCACACACACACACTCAAACATAAAAGTTGTGCGCATGCACACACTTAATCATAACTTTTTGCGGGGTGTGCGTGTGAGTGCGCTTTGCGTTTGTGTAATTAAAATTAAATTCATTACACACAACTGTATGCACTCGTATATGCGGTACCTGTTGCCCCGGCAACCTACAACATTATATAATGAGAAACTAACTGACACATACACCCACATCCGGAGCCATAGTCTAAACACGAGTGGCTTTATGTTTCAAGAGCTACGCCGAAAAGTTAAGAAAGTTGTTGACAACGCTTGTGACTTTCGATGCCCCTCTTACCGCATAATTACTGTCGCTTGCAGATGTTCTTATGTATACACTAAATATGTTTACATTGGAACCGACAGGCCTCATTGCACCAATAAAAATCAATTTTAGCTGACCAATTCCCGACAACTTGTGTTTCGGTGCTGCGAAAAGTTATTTTAGCCGATAACCACAAACCTACATGTATATGGGTGGCAAATAAAAATTTTGAAATGAAACCTGAGTATATCCATAATTTGATTTGATTTTAAATACTATGAAATAAATTACATTGAAATAATATTCAACAGGTTCGCTCCAAAGTTAAACAGTTATTACGAATAGGAACAATCTTCATTTTTGTATATAGTTCGGGCCACCGGGTCTGCAAGTTGCTTTAAACTAAGAGAAATTTTAGTCCACTGCACTAAGGTATAAGTATTATAATATTCGCTTGCTGACAACATTGACGAAGCTGCAACATGACAAAGGGAAGTGAAAGCATATTTCTTTCTTTTCATCATTTAAGAGCAATATTTTATACACAGAAATTGCAACATTGTTATGCATGTTTTCAATATTCGCAACAGCAAAAAATTGAATAAAATTGCACACATGAACATGTACAGACAGGTATATATCTACAAATATATATTCATAGAAATCAGATCATTTGTAAGGCCAATGGAGCAGGTGCCAAAGACAGGAATTTCAATAAATTTGCAAATAACGAAGAGAGTATGCGAAACACGTGAGTTCCCGCACCCATACAAAGCATGCTGCTCGCACCCGCATACACTCACACGCTCACGCATACGCACATATGGATGCGTGCTGAGACGGTTGTCCTATGACATACTTGCGTTGTGCACTTGCACCGAAGTTGAAAGTCCATATAAATATTGTGCGACATCAATAAAATGTCTAATGGCAATAAGATTTCCATGGAAACTGCGAGGCATGTCAGTAGATGAAAATTATTTTCTACCTCGCTATCCACCCCTTCAGGTTAATAATATGAAATAATACATTTAGATTAAAAAAAGAAGAAGAGAAGAAGAAAGAAAGAAGAAGAAGCCAGTGCATATGAAATGAGAAGTTTGCTTATCACTTAAAGCCCTTTGATCCATCCTATCTTCAAAACACCTAGGCATTTTAAGAAATCGATTGTATAGAAGTACATGGGATTGGAATCAGACTGTGAACTACGAATGTGGTCACACCCACTTTTTCGACATATTAAAAATGTCTCAAACTCTTGCCCAAACATCCCAAAAGCATTACATAAATACAATTTTGCAAGAATAGGCGAGAACGTTCCACACGTTACCCCAGTTCCCATGTAACGCTTTTCTCATATTGATTTCCGTTCTTCGGTAATCTACTTGTATACCCGTATACGTATTTATAGCGTAAAAATATACCAATATGTGAGCTACTTAAATTACATAGCAATGTTGCCTTTGAAGGATTTGATAGTTTACAATTTTCGTGTGAGAAGTTAAGATTAAGATCAGTTTCTCACATAATAAATGAGATGGCACATAAAATCAAGAAAATATTTTTTTCATCGTATAAAGTAATCCTGCACCGAAAATTGGCACAGTCTCAATAGCTTAACCTAATTAGGATTGCCAATTTAGCTCCTAACTTTTCTAAATAATACACTTTCTCTCTTTGTGTTGGTAACCTAACCGTTACAAAATGTCGATTTTCAGGAAGAGTTCATGTAAGCCAATTTTTCGGTAGTTGGCAAGGCAACATGGCAACACCCTTTATTTTACACGCAACTTTCTGAAAACATTCGAACTTCAAGTAGCTGAATGAAAAATCAACACCAAAACGTGTACAAAATCAGAAAGAGGAAACATAAAAATAGAAACGTTTTGTCAAAATTCAGCACAAAATTTCAAAAAACATTTCTTATTTGAAAAAATAGCATAAATTTTGTCTTTAAAAAGTAACTAAAAATGCTGACAGTCCGAAAATTTTGCCAAAAACTACACCTGTTCTTTCAAGAACACTATCCGTACATTTGGTTCATGTCGGTCTTTACGGTGGTATTCATCGGCTTCCTCCACTACGAACTGAAGCACAACAGCCGCGATCTCATCTACTGGAAGGATCTGCTCGATTTCTGCTACAATGAACTGGAACACTTCGCTCTTATACTCATTATGATCATTGTGCTCATCAAGGTCCTTTTCCTGGCCTTCATTATTGTCATGAATTCACGTTCGTTCACATGGTTTGACGAACTGTCGCAGCTGGAGGTGAAAAAGCGCTACGCCGACTTTCTTTTCATTCGTTTGATTGCCGATATCGACAAGATCGAAACGAAGTACTTACGCAGCGCCAAGGAGAATGAAATTGCCTCGTTGAAGAGCTTCATACTGGCCCATGAAGACATGCGCAAAACTATTGACAATTTCCGGAAGGACGCGCGTAAATTGTTGACGCCCAATGAGATCGAGGTATCGCTGCCGATTGAGGAGGTCTATGGCCTCATGGACGACGAGGAACGCTTGATGCGGCGCTCTCGTTTCTATCACATGGATATCTCGGCAGACGATGAACTAATCAAGTCGCTGGTAAATCCGTAATTCAATATTTGTCAAGTTTTCTTACTTTCGGGTTGCATTGCCATTCGGGGCTGCACATATATTTATACGTTGTACAAACCACATTAAAATATTATATTTTTGTAAGGTGCGATTGGTTAAGTATGAGCCTATGTAACTCTTATTTGGTAGATCCTTCATTCGGATGCGTAAACTAAGCAAAGGATCGCTTTAATCGCTCCAAGTGCTTAATGTACTCATCAGAAAATCACAGTAAATTTTTTTTTATTTTAACTCGGCACACATTTTTATTGAGAAATGTTTAATGACAAAAGAATGCAAATATATTTTAAGGATGGCATTTTGCAATTCTTTTCTCAAAATTTCACTATTTTATATATTTCTCTTTACTTAACGTAGTCCTTAGTAAGTTTTATTCGTATCGTAAATTTAACTTATGTATGGCATCAAGCTAACAGACACAACTCATTTCATCGACCCACTATTAGCTTGTATGAAAACTTGTTGCTAGAACTGAGAAAAGATCTCAAGACACACAATCTACTGGTGGTCAATCAGTCGTGACCTGATGCTATCGTTGTCATTTATCAGAAGTCGAAGAAGGCAGACATGAAAATAACTGAACTGAAGCTTAAACCAAACAAAAACAAAAAGCTTTGAGATTTATACCACCATAATTCATCATTCTTGACACTTTTCTTTTCAAATAGTAAAGAGAACAACGATTATATTTGAGCAGTCTTTTATTTTAGATACCTGACTATTTCTTATATTAAAGTAAGTGTTTATCATTATCAATTAAAGCCTACAAAAAGGAGGCATCCTCAAAATCTGCAGAAACGCTTGGAGAAAGTGAACTGGCATTTGTCTTCCCGTAATGTGGCGGAACAAAGTGATTGCGATGACGCAACTTTGGACGTGGGCGTTTAAACTGGAATGATTCGTGTTCAATTTTCGGTGGTGGTCTTGCACCGAATGGCGTTGATCCATAAGGCCAGTTCTCGATTTCGTCGTTAACCTCAGGCAATATTGGATTAAAGCGTAAATTTTTCGGTCGAAATCGTTCATGATGTTCGTTCCGATAGATCCCTTTCGGTAGGCTTTGAAGCTGCGGTTTTGGTTTGAAATTAATTTGATCCGAACGCACCCACTCGGGCCAACTCGGCGGTGGTGGATGCGACAATATATGCGGTGGCGGCTTCGGTTTGTGTGGTTGTGGCAAAACCACATTCTTATAGTAGTGCTTATGTATGGTGATCGGCCGACGGCCGTGGCGCCAACGTTCACGTCGTATTTTCTCACGCCATTTCTTTTGCTTGATGATGTCCACGCGCTTTTTCACATCGAAAAGTAGATGAAGTCCCGGTTTTACCATAAAGCTAAGCGCCATAAAGCCCAGAAACCCAAAGACAACTGGTGAAATGAGCGCAAAGAGGAACACTTTCAATGTGAATGGATTGAGTACCGTAAAGAAGGCGATAAACTTGATGAACGGGTAGAGAACATGCTTCAAGTGATTCAGATATTCTTTCTTTTTCTTTTTTAGCGTGCTCTTTTTGCGCACGATATACTTGACTTTTTTCGGCACTTTGGTGGTTGTAATCGTGTGATAGTAATGAGGTCGCTTTGTGGTGAGCTGAGTATAGAATATGGTGGCGTCCTCACCGATCGGTTTCTTTTTGTTCTTGTTTTTCTTCTTTTTCTTCTTCTTCTTCTTTTTTTTCTTTTTCAATTTCTTAACTGCCTTTAGTTGTTCCGGATTGAGCAGAAGCTGCTCTTGAGCGTCGTGTATTTCATCCAGTTGCAGTTGACTGAGTATATTAAAAGGCTTCGACTCGGGCGCGAAAAGCGTTATCGGCCGCTTTGACATGATGCCCATGTTGGGCAAATTGCGTGCGCGCTTAGACAACAATTCACTCTCAGTTAAATTGCTGGTTTCACTACTGTTCAGCTCTGTGCTTAAAATCCGCAAAGTTGGCGCTTCTTTACTTGTGTTTTCTTTGTTGCTTTCTTTGGATTTTTCTAATAACTTATTTTGGTGAATATTACTTAAATCATTTACTGAGACATCAACGACACATCCGGTCGTCTGAACTTGCGATTCATGTAAATTTACGACCACCTCCGTTGCGTACACCCCGCCCACTGACATAATGTACAGCAGAGTTATGAAATCCTTCAACGACATCCTTAAATACTCGACAACTCTCAAGTTCACAGCAAACTTTGTCGAATTATTCGAAAACTTTTTTATGCCAATTTGTTGAAGAGCACTTAACTCAGCTCAACTTTACCGAGACTCTTTAACACTTCAATTTGTTTCAGTTAGGCGTCTAACTGTTTTCTTACTACTGCTTGCCACTGTTACTTTTGCGGTTCGCCGTCGAAATTGGACTGAATTTAAATGTTCGGTAGACGTTTTTGCCACTGCGTCTAAAGTGTTTGCTAATATATATGTATGTATGCCCCTTTACTGCTTGCTTATTTCTTTATGACCGCGACTGCTGGTCACTAACTAACTACTGGACGTTCCTGCGTCGCCGATTGTTCTACCTGTTTGCGCCGGGGCCAGCTGAGACGAATATTTAAAAGTGAAATTATTCTTACAAATATTTTTGAGTTGAGTTACAACATGTTTTATTTTTGTTTCACTATTTTCGCCGTATCTGTCTTAACAAAGTGTCCCCTGTAGGAAAATTTATTGTGAATCTACTTCGTCCGATCGAAAGTTGGGGTAATATTCACGAGTTGACAGGTTCTCCCGTTCGGTAACTGACAATTATGCCAAGTAAGTAGAAGTTAATTGACAAAATTAGAGCAACGAAGCCGACAATTTGGATTAAGATAATGCAGCAAATATTTTTAATGTATCTTAAGCTTATTTGCAAGATTATATGTACGAGATAAAGGACCTCGCATGATGGGATAAAGGGCGGAAGAAATCCGAACTCGATTTCTTTATCTATGTATTGTTGAAAGTAGTATAAATAGCAAATCGCATTCATTGCATGCATTATTTCTTTATCAAGCAAAATTATAAAAAAATATCAAATTAAGATCATCATATCTGAGCTTAACCAACGTTAATTTATAAAAGCATGGCAAACATTTCCTATTAGGTGCTTTGAGCTTTTCGAATTTTCACGCGCCAAGACGGTTGTTGCCACAAACATCAAACATTTGTCATAATAAACCAGTAGCGAGCCGTTCCCAGCAACATTTACTGCATATGAGCACATACACACGTGCATATGAATATTTGTACGAAAATTATCAGTAACAACCTACATCCAGGCATTTGTATTAAAGTTGTTTGTGTTGTGTTTTATTGCCTTAGTTAGTTCTTTACAACCGGAAATTGAGGTCTCTGCTGGCTCAACTGAGCAGTGTACTTGTAGTATTTAATTTTTTGAAAGTGATTTTTTGTTGCTCTACATTCATACTTGAACAGTTTTAGTGCGTCTAAATTTAATAGTCGTGAGTAAATTCTAAGTTTAATGGCTCAATGTCAACGCTTTTGCTCAAGTGGTTTATGAAATTCTTTATTAAGCAGAACTTTCTAGTGTGAATTTAGTGCCAGAGAATCCATCACATACTACATACTAACAAGCATACACATACATACACATTAATATGGCAGTTGTAGAGCTGTCAACAAAATTATAATGTTTGAAATAAACTGGAGCTTTTACGATGTACAACACTTTAGCAGATAGCATTATCAATGTTTCCGGGAGGAGCAGGAAGTTTGCTCCTACAGAGGTGGTGTAGTGGAGCGCTGTTCCGCTACGTAGAATGTTGTTTCGATCCCAAAACAAAAAGCATCTGCAAAGCTTACTAAACATGCAAATTGTATTGACTCAGGGATGTGAAGCTGCTCCAAGCCTTTAACTTCATCTCGTAAGTATTAAAACTGAGAGACAAGGGTGTGACAAATCGTCAAGCGTTGGGCACAGTAGAACACGCTTCACCAAAACGCCTCTTTTTTATATGTAGTGTCAAAAAGTGTCGACGTAGTGTTTAATATGGATGATAGCTCGTCATTTATAATGGTTTGTACTTTGCTATTACAAAAATAATTTCCGTGTGAACAGAAGTTGGAATTCAGTTTTGTTTTTCGAAGTTTGAAACACGCTTCGTTTTTTACTTGGTTTAAATATTGAATTTAGGTAAAAACGTTTTCACTTAGTACCGGGACCATTTTACATCTTTCTTTTGACGAAGAGCTTAATTAGAAGTGCTAATGCTGAACTAAATAGTTTACAACTTAGTAAATTTTAGCGTCCAAGTTTTTTGATCTAATTGGAAAATTTGGTTTAAAGCAGCAGAGGGTGCAAGGTGTGTCGAAAAACTCATCAAACAAAGGGCGGTCCTATTAGAAGGAATTAGAAGGAAACTCTTTTAAGTCTTATATTTTCAAAGAAAAAGGCTTTTGACCATGAAATATATAAGTAACCCTGTGCAATGGGTCCGATCTCGATATCATACTCCAAATATGTGTTCTACCGATAACTACCGCTATAGAATTTTATTTCAAGTTTGTTTTTGTTGTTGTAAATAAAAGCTATACCCTTACATACAGACATTCCAAAGCCATCATTTCGTGAGCTTATGAAAAATATTGAATTAATTTTATGAAATAAGTGAGCAACTAAAGCGAAACACATGTAATACATATGTTATTTATGTCATTTCCCCAGGAGGGTGGCTGGTATCGAAGCCAACAAAACCCAATTGACAAAATTTACTCAATAATGTCACAATATTATGCTCATCGAAAAGGCATACAAACACAAGAGACAACAGGAGTAATGTGTCACGAAGACCAATAATACAAGGCGAATGGGGTGAGCGTCGCCGTTATGACAACACGAGCACCTGTATATGCAACACTTGGCACAAACATATGTATGTATGTAGGTGTGGGTGTGCGATGCACGAATGAATGTAAGCAATTTATGAAATTTGTTCAACTGCTTGAACACGTGAGAGTTTGGATCGAAATACAAATGTATATATGTATTTACATATAGCTGAGTGTGTGCAAAAAATCTAGATTCCAAAATATTTCTGGGGGATTTCCTTCGTACGCATACAAACATACCAACAAGCCAACGGGGAAGAACGAAGAGCTAGCAGCCGAAAGCGGTTTGATGTAAGCGTGCCTGAAATCATTTTACCGTTTGAAGCTCTTAAATAACGGTACAAAATGCTCATAAGGTAAACAAGCGAATTGAGTTTGTGAATGTGTGTGATTTCAGAAGATTGCAGGCGAAGTATGTAAGCGCCCACAATTCTCCAGTATCATTGTACAACAACCTAGGAGGTACTCGTATATATGTAAATGTGTGTGTTTGTGGGTGTATTACGAACGGCCGTTAAAGGCTTTAGGGATAACGAAAAACACATGTTTCCTAAAAAAACTTACAAGTACGCTTACAAGCACACATGCATATATACTCGTACATATAAGGAACTACATGGATTCACCGTTGAAACAAAAGCAAAAATCACAATGCAAAGGAAGACAAGCCGCAACAACCGACGCCGAACATTTTTAGCACAATGGCGAAGTGAACTCAGATCTGGTATTGTATATTCCATCATATATGTATGTATGTATGTACCATATGTGTATTTGCCCGACGAAAATAGAAAACAAATCGAAATCTCAAAAGTGGAAAACTCGTGCTTGCACAAAAAATAGGCCAAAAATAGTCCCACACTCGCCTTTTGGAAATATTAATATGCAAATTGAGTTTTTTAGTTGAGTGATCTAAGCGGATAATTTCAGAAACCCTTCAACTGCTGCAGGGACGCAGCGAACACTACAACTACCGGCACTCATATATGAATATATCACGATTATGTGTCTTGATTCTAGTGTCTTTCTGGTTGTCTGCCTGCAATACGCTCCACAAAAGCGATATAAAGCACCGTATTTATAGTGGCATATACTTGTTCATATCTTTGTGTGTTTGTTATTGATATTAGAGCACTAAAGTCGAAATATAGCACATTTAAAGTATTACTTATTCAACAAAATTAGGCAGAGCCATCAAAGTGCTCAGATTATAAGAATTACTTTTGCAATATTTGCGTAGTGGACTGTTTAGTAAGAATCGCTTCGAGTAGTTGCTTTTTTAAATTTTTAGATTAGACAATTATTTGGGAATAAGTTTTAATCAGATTCGAGCAAAAGCTTTGTCTAAAGGCACCGTCTGGCCCGGCAGACTGAAGAATTTCAAAAACGGTCAGTTGAAGCAGTCACATATAACTTATAAAGTAAACTTGAAAAGTGCATCTGTGCTTTAAGAAGTTGCTGGAATATCTGAAAATCGGCTATGTGAGTTATTGAAATAATTATGAAAGCATTGTCTGAATCTGAAAGTATACCGAATTCTCTAGAGATAAATTAGTATCACATAAATATTTTCGCTTCTTATTTCGAAGACTTCATATCCATTGTTAATTTGGAAAGATAAGTCACATTCGCCACTCTAGTTTAAGAGTTTGTCTTTATCAGCAACAATTAAGTGTTTGCACTGAGGAGTTTAAGGAACTCTCAGTTAAATTGACACTTTATATATAACAATGTGAGTACCTGATGATAAACTGTAAAAACATAATAATGCGAGTAATGCAATTGGATCTCCAAAAACACCAGCAATTTTTCTTTAATATGAAGAACACTAAAACTATTTGTCTGGTAAACTCTGAATTTATGAATGGTGTTTTATGTTAAACACCGAATTGGCGTAAAATTCACATAGTTTAACGGTAGGTTGAGAATTGGGGTGTGTGCATCATAGCATTGGAAAATCTAGCGCAAGTGATTCATCTCTTCGCTATTTATGTATTCAATACAATTTTCTCACAAAACTAAAGTTAGTGCTAAACTGAGACACATTGTTGTTAAATTGAGTCGAAAGATAAAAATATATTGCATTTAAATCGAATTCAGCACGTTATGTAATTGATTCAGGTTCTCTGTTCTTTTCCATTTTGCTCTTTTAGACATCGTTAGCTTATATGCAAGAACAAGCTGATACTTTTGTTTCTCGGATCATGCCGCTAAAGTGCGGAAATGAGAATCATATAAATGTACAAACTATGATACAATTACAAACTGTTGTTAGCAAAACTCAAATT